GATCCCCTGGCCCCTGCTCAGCCTTTCTTATGCTACACAGGCCCACCTGCCCAGGGGTGGCACCACCCACAGTGGGCTGGGCCCTCCCACATCACTCAACAATCAAGAAGATGCCCCACAGATATGGCCACAGGCCAGTCCAATGAAGGCAATTCCCCAGTTGAGGCTCCCTCAACCCAGGTGTGTCAAGTTGACACTAAAGCTATCTAGCACAATTGACCCCTTGTCAACTTGACACACAAACACACCACTATTAAACCATAAGCTTTACAATTCTTATCCCCAAGACATGATGTTAACATTAATATCACAACATAAGACAGTACAAACTTAAAAGCCTCACAGTCCTTAAAAAATCCAAACACGTAAAAGTCCATAGTCTCTTTTTGCTTCCTGTGCCTGATTGAAGATGTAGAGCTTAGCTTCTGCTCCTCCTCCAACCACGTCTGCCACCATGCCTCCCTGCCATGATGGACTCCTGCCCCTTGGAACCATAAGCTCAAATAAACTCTTTCTTTTATGAGTTCCTTTGGTCACATTGTTTCTATCACAGCAACAGAAAACTAACTAATACACTGCCCCACTGAATTAGCCCTTAACAAGGGCCTGTCTTTACCTAGAGGTAGATTCCATTCTTTGTAATGCTTGTGAGCAAGCACTTTGCTGACTGAGCATCATCGCAGCCCCACAACTGCTCCCTTAGCAATATGTAAGGACGTTTTCCTTACTGTGATCTTTGACTTGAAGTCTGGTTGGTCAGATAAAGCACAGCTACCACTGCTTGCTTGCTTTCAGATTAGACAGAAGTTCCTGCTCTGTGTGGAGACACTTCTTTGCAGGCACAGTCTCTCCACTCTGGGCTGGGTGGGCATTAACGTTGTGCCCCAGCAAACCCTTACCCACCGAGCTTTCGGGTTGAGGGTTGCCCCAGGGTGCTGCGTACCATCAGCCCACACTCTGTGTGCCTGGCCAGGGCAGCCTCAGAGCAGCATACACCCTGGCTGTCTCCATGTGGGTAGGGGCCCCACTTGTGGGGATGCCCGGATGTGGCCACTGTTGGTCTTGCCACTCTCCTGGGAGACCTGCTCCCGGGAGACTCCTTACATGACACGTCACTCCTCGGAGGGTAGGCGCACCGAGGCTGTCACCCATTCATCCACACAGCAGCAGCACCTCTACTCACACCTCAGGGGCTCATGCCAGTCACAACTGACTTGTGTGGCGGTCTCTCAGTTGGTGTGGTATCCATAGCTACCCTGAGTGGTGACTGCTCCAAGCTTCCTGTTACCTGGAGCAATTTGGTCCCTAACAGCACACACTTCATGTCAAGATGGCTCCTGTGTGAGACACAGAACTACTTCTCTAGAGCTGGCTTGCTGTATAGGAGGCCACCCTTGGACCAAGCCCCCCTCCCCTGCCCTCCCCGAGTCTATAGCTGGTATGAACTGTGATTCCTCCTGCGGATAGTCCTGCAGGCCCAGTTCTCAGAGGGACTTCCCAGCCTCCCGCCTGCTTGCAGAGTCCAGCTCTTGCCCGTTGCAGGAAGCCCAGCCAACACAGCTTGCTGCTAGTTTTCTCTGCATTCTTTCTGACTTTATGTGTTTAGAGTTCCTATCACTTCTACAAATGCGATCTCATGAAATGAAAAAGCTTCTTCACAGCAAAGGAACCTGTCAAGTGAGGAGGCAGCCCACAGAATGGGGGAGAAATCTTTCCTGCTGTGTATCTGGAAGGTCAGTGACAAGGACATACAAAGAATACAAAGAACTCCAAAATCAAACACCAGTTAACAAATGGGCTACAGAAGTAAACGGAGCTCTCGAAAGATGGAATACAAATGGCCAGGAACCCCTTAAAAGAGTGTTCAACATCCTCAGCCATTAGAGAAATGCACATTAAAACTATGTTACGATTCCATCTTACCCAGTCAGATGACTGGCCTCAGGAATAAACACCAAGCAGAAATGGTGGCATGGATGTGAACAGGGAACATTTACACACTGTTAGTGGGAATGTAAATTAGTGCAGTCACTCTGGAAATCAGCCTAGAGGTTTGTTTTCTGAAAATAAAACTACCATAGGACCCTCCGTACCACTCCCAGGCATGCCCAAAGGCCTCTCCCATCTCAGGACACCCACGCCCTTGTCATTGCTGCCCTACACACGGTAACTAGGAAATGAGAGCAGCCTAGATGCCTAACAATTGACGAACGGATAATGAAAACACAAAGCATATGCACAATGGAGCTACAAAGAAAATAAACTATGAAATCTGCAGAGAAATGGAATCGGGAAAAAATTATTCTGAGTAACAACCCAGGCCTCAAAGGATGAAAGAACGTGTTCTCCCATACGAGGGTCCTGACGCAGCTTCGCTCAGTGCCTAACGTGGAATACTGTGGAAGTCAGAAAACGGGGCTGGGGGGGGCGGTTATCTTAAGGGAAGGTAGACAGGCAAAACGAAAGTAAAAGTAAAGAGTGCGCAGTAGGTGGAAGGCTCGAGGCGGGTAGGGAGATGAGAGTGTGGGATTGGGGGGAGGGGGTAACCAGGATAAAGATGGTTTGCTAACCATCCCGGTGGGAGACCAACGTCCCTCTGATCAGACTGAAGACCCACAGGGGAGGGGGTACCATCGTCTGGTGCTACAAGCTCAGCCAACATCCAGTCTGAGCTGGCAGGCCCCACCGTGGGGAGTGTCTCCGGTGGGTAACCCAAGTCCCACAGCAGCAAACTGCGCGCACCCACAGACGAAAGCAGCTCCCAGCCGTGGAGCAGCTCCCCTACGATGGTGAATTCAGACTCACGGCTGCACGAAATGCAGAGACTGGTGGAGATGTAGGCCACCCCTTCGGAGGCTCGGGGGATACTGAGAAGCCACAGAACACTAACGGCTGGTAGGTGGGGAGAAGGGCTACAGAACGCCATTCAATGGACTGGGACAGCAAAGCAACAATGAACTCACTGCTGTAACCTGCACTGGGCCTGGCAAGGCCAGCCCTATCAATGATAGTCAAGGACGGGGCAGGGACTCAATGGGCCTTATCCTTTACCTTTGAACTAGTGGCTACAGATAGACTCAGGGAGAAGGGGTCTGCTGTCTTTAGTTGTGGACCCTCTGGTGAGCTGAGACCCTAACAGACAGCTCCAAACTCATGGTCACACAAACACCCCTAATTAATCTCAGTAGGTCAGTGGGGGGGGGGAGCAGTGGGCAGGGGTGGTAGAGACATGGTGTGAGTGGTCAATATGCAAGGCAAACGTGAAATTACAAAAAAATTTAATCAGGGCTAGAAAGATGGCTCAGCAGTTAAGAATTCTTCCTGCCCTTTCAGAAAACTGGAGATGCCCAGCATCATCTGGAAGCTCACAAATGCCTGTAACTCCAGCTCTAGGTGATCCAACATCCCCCTCTGGCCTCTGTGGGTGGGGCACCTGTACACATATGGCATACCCACAAACACATTTATTTTTATTAAAAAACTTTAAAACCCCCCAAATGACTTCCCGTCTCATTTGCCCCTTCATTCCCCTTTGGTCCAGTTTCTTCCCCCGCCACCCCCAGCTCCTCTCATTGCAGACCCACTGCTGGGTAACTCTATCTTCTTTCCCAGCCAAGCTTAATTCTCTTTTAAAAGCAGAGCACACCTAGTTGTACCAGCTCCTGCCTTTGTGGCCCACCTCAGGGGCCCCGTCGGCAGTCCCTTCCATCAGCACAGGTTTATACAGCTTAGGCTCACCACCATGGTCTTCTTTGGTCCCCAACGTCCTTGTGTCCCCCAGGCTCCATCAAGGTCTCCAATCTTCATGTATCAGAGGGACCACCTTTCCCTGGGATACTTGGACAGGAGTTTGGCATTGTAAACACACTGTTAAATCCTATTAAATCAGTTCATGTTATTAAGTCTTTGTTGTAAAAGCACTTTAGTGCCCCCCCCCCCCTGAAAAAAACAAGCTAAGATGCTAGGGGTGGTTTGATTCTCTAAGTAGCAGCTGTGAGGCACTTTGGTGACCAAGCTGTCTCGAGCAAAGGACTATGAGGCCAGCAGCCAGCTGGCTGTCCCTTCGTGGCTGCACAAGCAGCACTGAACACACCACAGGGCCTCAAGGAAACTATTTAGGGCTGCTGCTTACTGCCGAAGCCAAGCACCAGCTCCGGAAGGCTGTTCAGAACAGTTTTACTGGATTTCTTGCCATCACCTCCCTGACCCTCTAAATGACACTGAGAACCTGCAGCTATTTCCCAGGCTCAAGGGCAGCACTTCACTGGCGGCACAGCAGACCTGTGACTGGTGCAAACCCAGCCCTTCCCCTTGACGGCCTAGGCCGATGTCTCTGTCTTCTAAAGCCTGGAGCTAGAAGCCTCTGGCTCTGCCACCCAGCGGTCCTGGGCTCAGAGGCCCAGTACTGCCAGCACTGCAGGAGCGCTCTACCATGACTACTAAAAAGCACCTAACCCACGGTACTGTCCATCCAGGCACCCACACCCCACCTCCTCCCGATGCTCCCATGTCCTTGGGTTTGCCTTTGGAGAGCCCATGTGCCCACCCCCAACCCCCGTTCCAGCCAGCTTATTTGTGGTCCACGGCCGCACTACATAACCATAACCCTGACTCCTTCACTGGGTGGATGACTCAATGCCTCTAACAGGTGTCTAGATCCCTGGGATTGAAGATGCCCTGCTTCGTGGTGAGGAGGGGGAGGAGGAAGCCGCACCTGCAGGTGAAGGGTAAGGAGAGAGCACAGCTCTGTACCAGACATTCTGAGGCCTAAGGCCACTGGGGCTTTGGGCTACAAGGTGTGTGGAAGGGAGAGCCAAGACCGTCCTCCACCCCACCCACACCTGCTCAGGTCACGCAAACAAGAGCTGAGGAAGGAAGGCCCCGGCGCCCACACATCAGCCAGCACCGGTCAGGGAGCTGGCAGAAGCAAAGCCACCCCTCTTCACATCTGAGCAGTCACTTCCAGTTCACACCTTTAGGAAAGGAACAAACTCAGCGCGTTGTGCACAGTGGTGGTGTCCTTTATTCCTAATGAGGGGCGCCTTTCACATGGAGCAGCAACTTCACCCCGTACGCCTAGCATGGAGATGCTCACAGATGGTGGCGGGCCGGTGCATGGCCCACACTAGTGATGGTGCTGCTTGAACTGCAGGCCGCAGTAGCCGCACGTCCCCGTTTTTGTTTCTTTGTCCTGAAAGATTTAACAGGAAAGAACTCGTGCTTTCATATCTGACCTCAAATCCCAGTTAGCCCTATAGCTACTGGAGCAGCAGCGCACGGCAGTCGAGAACTCGCTGCTCCCCATGGACCACACATCCTCCTTTCTTCTGTTTCTCTTCTGCACTGCCGCGGATTAAATCTAGGGCCCTGCACATTCAAGGAAAGCACCTCACCACGAAGCTGCCTCCCCAGCCGTCTCGACTTTCTATTTTGACACAGGGTCTCATTAAGTTGCTCAGAGTAAACCCCTGTGTAGCTCAAGACACCTTGAACTTGGGATCCTCCTGCTCAGCTTCACAGAGCTAAGACTACAGGCCTGAGCCAGGCCAGACCCCCCCAACCCCCCACAGCTCTTTTGTATTGTGGTGCTGGGGAAGCACCCCAGCCTCACACGTGACAGCCACATGTGCTAGCATGGAGCTGTACCCAAGCCCCATGACGTACATGGTTTCATTCTACGGTCTCGGGCCCACTCTTTTCTATTTATTTTTATTTTTATTTTATGTGTATAAGTGTATTGCCTGCATCTAAGTGTACCCATGTCATGCAATGCCCGCAGAGGTCAGAAGAGGGCGTCGGATTCCCTGAAACTGCAGTTAGGATGGTTGTTAGCCACCATGTGGGTGCTGGGAATCAACCTGGGTCTTTTGCAAGAGCAGCCAGTGCTCTTAACCAGAGCCAACTCTCGTGCCCTCTACTTTGTTGGTAACTGAACTGTCCAACAAAAATAAGACTGCGCGGGGATATTCCAAAATAACCTACATCTCCTTGCACTGGAGCCCTAATCCTCAGCACGAAGGATCCAGAGATCAGGCCTTTAAAACGGCAAGCATGGTGAGAACATGGTCACGGTGGTGGGCCCTGCACCGATCTGACGGGGGTCCTTTAGAGGAGATCAGGATGCAGACAGCTCTAAACGTCAACCATGTAAGCACGTGGGATAGCCCATCTGTAAGCCGAGAGAACTCCGGAGGCACTAGCAACCACCTGGTGTGATTACAGCTAACCCAGGTCCATAGCAACATTGGCCAGAGGGAAGCCTGCTGCGTCCATGTTATAGGAGGCAGGAGTGTGTGCCCATCACACAGAACATACTACACCATGCATGGTCAGCAAGGAGTTTTTGACACACCCTACTATCGGTTCCTATGGCACAGCTGACTGTGAGAGTGAGCACTGGGGGGGGGGTCACCTCGAGAGCACGGCAGGAGATGGCAGCGAGAACAGATGGCTGGGAGAGAAGCTGAGCACTGAGACCCAGCAACTGCTTAGGGGCGTGGACTGGTGCTCCATACCAAGTTTATGTACACCTTGGGGTGACCCAGGGCACCGCCCCCGCCGTCACAGGCTATGATCCGATGGTCCACCTGACTCACGGGCTGCTCTGCTATCAAATCAATGGCAAAGCTCTCATTCACCTAGAACAAGAAAAGGGAAGAGACAGTTAAATATAAAAGCTGTAAATTTCACAAGTTATGAGCACTCACCCAAATCTACATATTGTCAACACACAATTTCCCTCAAAACAAGTGCTGAAATCCTTCAAAACACAATAAAATCAATTCAATCCAGGCAGACACACGCCATTTGTCCTTGCGACGGAACACCTCTGTGTTCCTAAGAATCATGAACACAGCACTGGGGTTATTGGAAACACAAAGGCCCAGGAAAATCCACCTGTGAAACCACCCGGGTTTGGGGGTACCCGAACACTGAACACTTTGCTTCTCTTTCTGTAAAATTATCCATTTCAGTTAAAATGTCCTATGTATGTGCACCCTGGTGAGCAGCATGGTCACCTGTTGGTGTTTACAGTCTGCTCATCGATCATCCCTTCCCTCAGGTCACTTGGACTTTGATGCACTTTCTTTCCGATCAGGTGGTTTCACTGTAAGGATGACTTAGCTCACCAGGTTTTCACAGAGCGGGGATCTCACGCTAAGCACGTTCTACTTCATCAGCTTCGAATTTACCATCTCCTTCCTTACATATGCCTTTGATTACTGTTCGTCATAACTGCAAGTTGTGATTCCAGTACTGCATCCTGATGATGCTGTGCACCTCGCAGGAACTTATTTTTGTCCGTTTGAAAAATGCCCTATGGGTCTGGAGAGATGGCTCAGTGGTTAAGAGCACTGACTGCTCTCACACAGGACCCAGATTCAATTCCCAGCATCCACATGGAGGCTAACAACCATCTCTAACTCCAGTTCGAGGGGAATCTAATGCCCTCTTTTGACCTCTGTGGGCATTGCATGACACGGATGCACTTACACACATGCAGGCAATACACTCATACACATAAAATAATACAATATTTAAAAAAGAAAAAAAAGAAAAAGACCCTGTTCTCAGTGTGCCTCTACTGCCTGGGATGTCTACAGTGTCTGTTCCTAGACACAGCTCCCATGCTACGGGTGAAGTCACTGGAACTCTTCCAGCACACTGTGACACGCTACCACACTGAAGCACCATTTATCCACCCAATGTTTCCCGGGCCTAAATCCCACCACATCAGGTGTCACGATCACGGCCCTTGCCTTCTGTTTTCCTCTCACTGCTCTTTCTGCACCTCAGCATCTTTTAAACCACTGTGCATCAGGGAGGCCACTTGCATGCAACACAAATGTCCATCAACAGGGAACCACCTGAGAAGACAGTGACAGAACCCAGCACATGCCACTGCAGACTAAATGGGGACGTGCCACTAAGGATGGATACTGCACACACCACTGTAAACCAAATAAGGACATGCCATTAGAGAGGGACACCTGCACACCAATGGGACATGTCACTAAGGACACGTGCACACCAATGGGATACGTCACTAAGGACCCTGCATGTACTACTGTGAATTGAATGTGGAGATAATCACTAATGAGAATACCGAATGGTTACATGCCATCGGTCATCACTATGTGGAAGAAGACGGACAGGTTTAAACAGTCGTTAAACACACGGACAGGATAAGCCACAAAGAACCTATCATGGAGGTAGACAGGCAGAGGAGAAAGGAGAAACGTTAGACTTCCTTTAAAATTTTAGAAATCTGATTCTGAAACAAGTTTACACCAGAAAGTTTTTAAAGGTTTATGAAATAAAAAAGAAACAGGTGGACATAAATAATCTGAGTAACTTCAAAATAAAGGACACCTCGGATGGACACACCTTAACAAAGACACCACTTCCAAAGTATCTGCAGGTGTCACTGGGACTTCCGTTGTGAGGACAGGAATGAGTGAGGTCAGGGTTGGCAAGAGTCTGAACTCTGAACTCAGCTTAGACCTGCAGGTGCGCACCAGTACCTGCCCACCATCTTCACTGGAAATGGTCAGCACCAGGCACACTGGGGCCCACATGGGGCTCACACTGGGGCCTCTACACACCACCCCAGAGGAAGGGACCAGCTTCTCCCCAAACCCAGCCGAGCTCAGGTCCACAGCAGGAGGTATTATAAGAGCCAGAAGCACTGTTGGGGCAGAAGCAGGGAGTGAGCAAAGAAAGGCCTGACGGAGAGCAATGGCCTGGAGTTCCACCGCGCTGATGTAGACCTGGAGGAGCAGCCAGGACCCCAGCCCATGGCTGCAAGGATTGAAAAGCAGCACACACTGAAGTCCAGGGCTTCAGTTACAATCTCATTAAACACCCAGTCATCGCTGCATCAAAGAATGCTGAGTAAGGAATGAGCATTTCTTCTGCTTTTCCCGCACACACTCACTGCAGGCTCACCAAGCTGCCTCTACACAGGTGTCTGTGAACAGACATCATTTCACAAGTCCTTCCAAATCAGTGGACATTTCGACTCCTCATGGTGGGAAGGCACACAACTGCAGCTGCACCAAAACCAGGACTGACCTGTCTGCACAGGCCTCATCCAACCAGCAGTATGGCAACCCCTCAGAGGCCCAGGACCTGTCCAACTGCTGGGACAAGCTCCACACAAAAAGGACGTGGATCAGAGCTGGAAGAGAGAGATGGGGCCAGGAAATGGAGGCCTGCAAAGAAGAGAGCTGAGGGGCACTAGCAGCTGCCTCCAGTGGCTCAAAGGACTGAAGATCGAGTCAAGTTGTAACTTAAAATATAACACGGCTGAGCATATCAGTTGGGTTCACTGTAATTTTCAAGGATGCCGGGACAGTGAGTGCACGTGTCCCTCACATGCCCGGCGAGCAGGATCCTGCCCTCCCTTCTCCAGCGGTCCTTCCTTTTTGAACACATCGACAGCCATCCTCTGAAGGAAACCTGGTGGTCAGCAGGAAAGTTCTGGAGCGTCACTCAGCCCCCAGGCCATGCCCACCAAGCATTTCCCATCTTGAATCCCAGCAGAGAGGCAAGATGCCTCACAGATGCCGCCCACCTCTGTAGCAGAGGCTGCACAACCCCTGTGTTCACCAGGGAGCCCACAGGGAGAGGTGAGCAGACTCCCAGCAGCACAATCAGGTCACAGCCCAAAGGCTGGGGAGCATGTAGCTTGATGTGAGGTCTGTGAGTGGCTGGAAAAGCCGTGTGGAGGAGACACTCCTCACCAGAACCCTGAAGCATGAGCTCACAGCAGCATGAGCATTCTGGGAAGGGTTAGGTATCCTTACAGATTACACCTAGGCACATCTCGCCCTCAAGTTCCATCTCTGCAGGCACTATGGAAGACACTGGAAATGGAGGGACTGATTCAGCAAAGGCCACCAGGCACCCGATTCTACACGTTCCAGTCCCCCAAGCACACAGTCCCCCGTGATCACAGTCCCCCATCATCACAGTCTCCCGTGATCACATGCCCCCGTGATCACATCCCCCGTGATCACGTCCCCCGTGATCACATTCCCCCGTGATCACAGTTCCCTGTGATCACAGTCCCCTGTGACAGTCACGCTGCTTCTTGACACCAGCACCTACAGGGCCAGGAGAGAAGGATGTACTGCATGCCCCAAGCAGGCAAAGGCAGCAATCATACAAATGAAGCCCTGTAGTGTAAATCCTGTGAGTCTTCGGAGGTGACAGTATGCCACAAAGGCCACACTAACAAACTCTCCAGCTCCCGTCCGGGCTGTCTAAAGCCCAGCCATCTCCCCATGGGAAGGAGAGCTGATGCCCCAACACTGTGACTGGCAAGCGCCTACCCTCCTGTCATTTACTGCATAACTCCAGGGCAACCCTGACCTCCCATGATTAACTCTGCTTCCTGGAACTTGGTTCGAGGCAGGAATACAGAGAGCTTGGACAGTAACCACCTCATGACCAATGCCAAACCTATGCTATGTTCCAAGAGGTTCTGCCCTGTCTCTTCCACCTCAGGGGATGAGGGGAAGGGGAGCACTGGGATCACAGGACAAGGCCAACAGGAAGAACTGTCAGACAGGGTGATGTGAAAACCTTGGAGCCACAGTTTCATTTTCCTCCCGATGATCAGCTAGCTGGCTTCAGCAGAACGACACTCGGTTAAGTTAGTCTACAGTCTGGTTTCAGTTCTTACGGAAAGCCCACTCCTTTGTTTCAACTAAGACAGAGTCTTGTAAACACAGGATGCCATGACATACACCAGATCAATGCTAAGTGAGAGAACACCCCAGCTGACTGACCAGTGCTATGAGACAGGCTCCAAGAACGGGAGGCTGCAAGTATTCGGTTCAGTCATCAGGACAGCAGGAGCCTCTGACATTAACACCTACCACATACAGAAAACATGTACAAATGCATACATATGTATGTAGTGTTCAAATCACAGGGGAGACAGAAGCAGTCTCCGAGCTGTGTGTGAGCCAGGCCTTTGGTCCCAGGTGGGGGTTTATGAATTTAGTTTCAAAAATTGTCCTCTGGGTCCTGATGGGACTTCTGAAGGGCCAAGCCCTTCTAAATCCAGATTACACTCAAAATACCTTCACCTCATGCAAAGTACTGAGGTCACAGGCTTTGGAAGGAGCAGCCAGAAGGGACAGGAAGAGACATTACAGTACAGCCCCACCTCAGGTCTCTCCAGGCTGTGCCCCCAGGAGGACGGATGGACAGACCTCCCTTCACCACCCTTCAGAAGGAAGCATGAAAGGATGTGTGGGCTGTGCAGAACCTCAGCCAATGAGCCTAAGCACCCGAAGACAGACTATCCCCCAGCACACCCAGCTCTGGTCACACTCTGCCCTGGAATCTGGCAGGCAGTTGGAGCCTTTGAAGCTGTCCTCCCAATGATCCTACCTCATCTTGCCACCTGCCACGGTGGTAAATAATTCCTCAGCTATAAACTGAGTACATCAGGACCATGTCAGTGGCCTGGCTTTCCTGTAGCCGTGAGCATGAAGAGTGCTTGCATCTCAGAGCCAACATGGTATGAAGGGTACTCGTGTTGGGGGTGGTGTGAGCTGACAGAGCTCTGACAGCGGAGGAGAGTCTGTCCTTCAGGGAGGCCTGCTGCAGCCACAATTGTTTCACAGCCTTGATGCAGTAGAAAATCAGCACAGAGCCGTACACAACAGACCCAATCACCTAGTGCTCTATAGCATCTGCACGGCTTCAGTGCAATGACACTTGCCCTGCAAGGGCCCGAGGGCAGCAGCACAGCGACCCGGTTCCCTGGCATTTCTTGAGGCAGGTATGAACGTCCGTGCTTTCCTTGTCTACATTCTTGAGCCCCAGAGGGAAAGACCTGAGCTCCACATACCAGCCTGGTGGCCTAGAGTGTGACACCAAAGGTCCTCACCTGTGAGCAAGGCTGCAGTTACCTCGTCCCACCACAGGACAGCATATCCTCAGTGCACACTGACAATCAAGTAGTAACTGGTCACTTCCAAGTTTGCCTCACCTTCACTCAGGTGACCTCAGGGCACCACCTACCCAGGACTTCAGGCTGACTGCTGGCCCCTTTCTTGCAGGGTGGGGGTAGATGGCACAGGATGAATATCTGCCACAGGCTCAGACCCTAGGTCCTCTGCAGGCATTGGAACCCCATCAGGTCATGACTGGAGCTTCCTGGATGCCTCCCATTCTCACAGAGGCCTGGCCAACAACCCAGCATGTTGTTACCCATGATCCTGAGATCAAGTCCAGACACAGCTGACTTCTTAACCTATGACCAATGAGGAAGACAGGCAGGGGAGGGAAACCACTATCCTAGCACACATGTGCAGACCCAGAGAATGCACAGCTCCAGAGGTGTCCTCTGCAAATGTGGAGCCAAACAAACACTCAGGTTCCAACATCAACTCTAAGGCAAGGATTAGCAAGCCAGATGCTCAAGCAGCTAGACCTCAAGGGCAGGGTGTGTGAAACTTGCTCCTCCTCCTTCAGACTCCAGGGCTCTATTAAAGTCTCTTAAGGTGTGGCTCAAGGGTGCAAAGCTTGTCTAGCATATGTGGGACCTGGGTTGCACCCAAGCCCTGCTAAAAAGAAAAAGATCCTAAGACTCAAAAAAGTTAATTACCAACACTAGGGAATGTGCTTAAAGAAGGCACACCGAAGTTGGACGCCTCCTCACGCAGCAGACAAGTCTCACAACAGTAAGAACCAGACACAGTGCTGAACCAGAAGGTACGAGAACTGGTGGGGCCGAGCAGCATCCATCAGGGCGGGACCAGGTGAGCTCACTGTGGCACAGCCAACAGACCTCCCTCCACCACCTCCCTCCAAGCACGCCCCTGGCTGCACAACCTCACAGTTTATCTTTAAGCTCTTCCCTGACCCTCTGCTAGGCCTGCCAGAAATCACAAAAACAATTTTCAACAGAGCTGATACATGGAGGCAGGGACAGGGCCCAGCACTTGGTGTGAACACACCACAGGGCAGAAGGCTGGAGTACATGAACAGGCCAGAACAATGAGGACTACAATAACACTAGAAAATAAACAAATGGATCTGTCCGTCTCACGGGGAGGAGAGGAGACGTTACCGTCTGCTACCCCCAGACAATTCATGTTCTGAACACCCACAATGATAAATACTATCACCATTACATTCAGAACAATTTACAATTCTAGGGAGCTTGAGATATGGAAAGAATTCTTTAGCCAGGCGTGGTGGCACATGCCTTTAATCCCAGCACCGGGAAGCAAAGGCAGGAGGATCTCTGTGAGTTCGAGGCCAGCCTGGTCTACATAATGAGTTCCAGGCCAGCTGGGGCTACTGGGAGACCCTGTCTCAAAAAGACCAAAAAAATTTTTTTTCTTAATTAAAAAATAAAAATAAAAAAAGGAATTCTTTAAATCCTAGTCTACAAATTAAGTGCCAGTTCTGAAAAGTCTGGGGCTAGACAATGTTTTGGATTTAAGAATATTTGCACTATGTCAAGGATGGGACCCAAGCAGGAACATGAAATTCACTTTATGTTTCTCAACATTTTACACACAGCCTGCAACTGTATTTAAGACTTCTACACTTCCTGTTTCCACTACAACCCAGCACGAGTCAGGTGTAGAATCCATGGCAGTGTCATGCTGGTGCTCAAAATGCTTTTGATTTTGGAAGATTCAGGTTTTTGGATTAGGGATGCTCAACCTATTGACATTTTATGAATTCTTTCTTTCTTTATTTATTTTTTAAATTTATTTGGGCTGGTCATGGTAGCACACACCTTTAATCAGAGGCAGACGCAGGCAGAGCTCTGTGAGATCAAGGCCAACCTGGTCTACATGACTTCCAGGTCAGCTGTGGCTACAGAGAGACCCTGTCCCAAATAAATAAATGAAATGTATCTATTTTTGTTTTATGTGTATGAATGTTTTGCCTGCATCTATGTAAGTGCACCTGAGTCATTCAATGCCTGTGGAGACCAGAAGAGGGCATTGGATCCCCTGGAACTGGAATTATGAACCACTGTGCACTGCCATGTGGGTGCTGGGAACAGAACCCAGGTCCTCTCCAAGAGCAGCCAGTGCTCTTAACCACTGAGCCATCTCCCAAACCCCGTTGTGTGAATTCTTCCGTTTTACTAGATCCGTCACTCACCTCTTTCTGACGACCTACGAACCGAATCCTCCTGTAGTCTTTATCATCATAAACCTGAAAAAGACCATCTGTTATTTACAGGGTAATTGGGAAAGAGGTCACATCATGCTGACAGGAGACTTCACGGGACACTGCCTGGACCTACCGCCACCGATGCAGTCAGACAACCCAGGGGCACAGCGGAGTCCCGTGGGGATGCTGGACTGGAAGGGCACAGCCCGGGGGTGGGAGGCTGAGGTGAGCTGCAGACAGGAGCCAACCCCCCACTTTCTCATGTGGCTGGAAGGCTGCCCTTCCCCCTCTAAGTCCTGCAGCTGACATTTCAGGACATGCAGTCTTTTTCCATGTTTTGGCTCAGCTTTATTGAACGCTTTAGATGAAAACCGGCTCCTCAAGTAACAACGGAAGCTTGGGGCTTCAGATGACAAATCTGATCCAAAGGAGGAGTGGGACCACCAACTCCATCCGGGAGCTGGGCAGAGGTGGCACCAAGTGGCCCAGCAGGGCAGCAGGCGCGCGAGCCCGACCAGGGGTGCGCGTGCCCGGCCCGACCTCAGCGCGTGCCCGAAGCACCCGGCGCCGCCCGCCCTGCCACCGTCAGTCCCGGGTTCGAGGCGCGGCGCAGCGGCCGTTACCTGGCCCGTGTGCGTGATCTTCTCCCCGCTCGGGGACACTCGTACGCCAAAGCCCCGAGCGGCACCGGGCAGAGCCAGCAGCCGGCGGAAGGTCGCCGCCACCGCCATCTTGCGCTGACCCCGACCCGGCGCACGGGACGCCCGCGCAGGCGCAGGGCTCGCGGCTGGACTTAGTTCCCGCTGAGTGAGTGCGCATGCGCTGGGCGGTCTCCGGCAGGTGCAGCCTCCAGCTGAGTCCGCCCGGGAGCGAGGTCTTCAGACCTTGCTGGAGGCCTGGCTGATCCTCACTAATGCGAAGGCTAAGGAGGTGGAAACTAGATGCAATGTGTGCGTTTTTGTGGAGAGATTTAAATATCGGAATTAAATTTTATTTTATTTCATTTTATGCGTATGAGTGTATTGCCTGCATGTAAGTGCACCCATGCAGTGCAATGCCCGCGGATGTCAGAAGAGGGCGTTGGATCCCCTGAAACTGGAGTTACAGATGGTTGTTAGCCGCCATGTGGGAATCCAACCTGGGTCTTCCACAAGAACAGCCAGTTCTCTTGACCTAAGCAGTCTCTCCAGCCCCTCCCCCCAAATATCGGAATTTTTTATTGAATAAAGAAATAGATTGTTCAGCAAAGGAAGGAAACTAGACATTCAACATTTTGGCTGGGGAGGGGAGATCTTGTAAGCATTTCTTTTCTTTTTCTTTTTTTTTTTTTTTTTTTGAGACAAGGTCTCCCTGTAGGCCCAGCTGGCCTAGAAGTCATATGTAGACCAGGCTGGCCTCGAAGAGATCCACCTGCCACCCGAGTGCTGGAACTAAAGGCCTGCACCACCACACCTGGCTTATAAGCATTTGTTGAATTTGTTGAGATGTCAGATGGCAAGTGATTTGTACCCAGCCTTGAAAAAGCTCAGTTATGGGATGGAGAGATGGCTAACCAGTTAGGAACACTGTCTGCTCTTGCAGAAGACCTGGTTTCGATTCCCAGCACCTACATAGCAGCTAACAACCGTCTGTAACTCCAGTTCCAGGGGATTCGTTGCCCTCTCCTGACTTCCCAGGGTGCACTCACATACATTCAGGCAATACCCTTAAACACTAAAAATAATAAATAAAATATTTTTTAAAAAGAAAATGAAAAGTCTCAGTTATGAAGAGCGACCCCATACAAATCCTAGCCTGCAAATCCTGAGGGCATGTCACATTGCCTCCACAGGTCCCGGCCTTTAGCAAACTGTCTGCACTGGAGTCATTTCTAGATCCTTCTCAAGGGTGGCTGTCATACATTGCAACACGAACCCTTTGCCGTCAAGGGGACAAAATGAAGGCAGGCCAACAGTCAGAGCAGGGGTGGGGTGAGGGAGCTAATTCCCGAGTAAGGGCCAGAAGCTTGCACATCTTGCTAGGGTTCCCTGCAGAGTTCCTGCAGCCTGGATTGAAGGCTGAAGCCCTGGCATCTCCCTTTTCTGTGTTTCAACCAGGGCCTCAGGACTTGATGGCTCTGAGGACGAAGGAAAACAACGTGGAGATGGCGGAGAGACAGGAAGAACAAGAAGCTAGCTCACTTAAAAACCTTCTCAAATCGGAAAATTGGCCCCAAATGTGGTGGTGTTTTCTTGCTGTTTTTTTTGTTGTAGTTTTCTGAAACAGGGCCAAGTTATGCCCAGGCTTGCCTAGACCTGTCTTCCTACCACTCAGGGCTGCAGATTTGTCTAAAATCTATTTTCCTATTATTACTGTGTGTGGAACAGTGTGAAGATCGGAAGACAACTTTCAGGAGTCAGCGCGCTCCTTCCACCAAGGGTTCTGGGGATCGAACCCGTGTCTTCAGGCTTGCACAGCAAGCATTTTTACCTGCTGAGCCATCTCAGCAAGTAAAAGATTATTTTGAAAGTGATAAAACTCAAGAATCTGGTATTCCCATGGCCTTGTGCCAAGGTGGCCTGAGTGAGCCTTGTGTGAAATGTGGGGTGAGGAGCCAGAGAAGGGCTAGCCTCCGTCACACAGAAAGTAGTATGAATGGATTCGCTGACCCCCAGAAACCACAGGTGCACGTGGTATGTGGAACTGTTTCCACTCTGTGTGCTTGGACACGCTCATTACTCCAGAGGGAAAGAAAGGTAAGGCCTGTGACTATCTGGGGCGCTGGCTGGCTGGGGCACTGACCTACTTGCCCCCCTAGGCAGCTTTGCACTGTGCCACAATGTCATTAATGGAAACGTGACCTGTGCGTTTTGTCTGGATGTTATTTTCCAGTTGTCCTGTTGGTAATTTCCATTTCACTCAAAAGTGTGCATTTCGCTCTTATTTTCGCATCTTTTCTCCCAGTGCGTCGCGCACCTACGCTCCCACTCAGGGCTAAACTAGGGAATAGGCGAGAAAGGGCGGACTGTGGCACAGCACGCATGCGCCGAGGTCCGTGCGCCCGCCCCGACGCCATCTTTCTTCCTGGCGGTGGCGCCTACGCCCCACTGCGCAGGCGCACGGATGTGCAGCCGGAACGTGCGGCCGGTGGGTCCCTTCCCGGTGAGTCTGGGGTGCGGCGGGCGGCCAGGGCCCCGCGGTTCGCAGTCCCGGGCATGTGGCACAGCCGAAGGGTAGACACGCAGCCGTGGGTGGAGGTGCGGCGTGAGGGCGCGGGCCCGCCTCCCCGGCGACAAGCCGGCTCCTTCCCGGGCCCCACGGCGCTGATGGGGCCTGCGCGGCGCCCTTTGACCTCCGACCATGACTTTGAGAAGTGAGGTCCTAAGAGGTGCCGAGGAGCCGGAGTCGGGGTGACGCGCTTCCCTCCCCGCGGGTGTGAGCAGGAGTCGGGGTGACGCGCTTCCCTCCCCGCGGGTGTGAGAGGGAGTCGGGGTGACACGCTTCTCTCCGGCAGGTTGTGCAGGAGTCGGGGTGCCCGCGGGCCCAGCCCCAGCATGGCTGCTCTGTTTATGCGGACCTTGGTGGCCTCCGTTGTGGATCCCCTTCTGCGCCTGAGTCGCGTGGCCGTGAAGCCCCAGGCCTTCTCCACGGCCCTGGCGGGGACCCTGAGTGGCGCCCCGCCCTGCGCACAGGTGCGCTCGCTTCCGCTTCTCCGGTGCCACGCCCAGCCACACCTGCAGCCCTCCCAAGGCTTCAAGACCAAGGGCGTCCTCAGGAAGCGCTGCAGGGACTGCTACCTGGTGAAGAGGCGTGGGCGCTGGTTCGTCTACTGCAAGACCAACCCCAGGCACAAGCAGCGGCAGATGTAGCCCTCGTGGGAAATGGTTCTGGCCTTACCAGAGTCAAATAAAATGTGAACCATAATTATGATCCGTGCGCCTCAGGGTTCTGCTGAGCCTGCTTCCCTCCACGTGAGTTCCTTCGTGATCACTGAGATTCAGTGAGGCCAGAATCGTTGTGAAGCAGGAACACACAGCTGGCCTTGTCTGCAGCCGCAGAGTGCGACCCCTTTCTTCCTCCCTTTGGTCTTTTTCAGACGAGGTCCCACATTACAGCCCTGACTGGTCTAGAACTTGTAGAGATCCCCTGGTGGTGCCTCTGCCTCCCAGCCATGCACCAACCACCAAGGTCGGCAGACTCCAAGTGCTTTAAGAACTGACTGAGTCTGAAGGCTCCTGTGGGGGCAAAACAACCCGGGCAATGTTGTCCCAAGCTTTTACTCATAGGAAATTCTGTTTGTATAGAGCTGTCTTTTGGGATACCAATTAAAAACGTTTATAAATGCCTGGTCTTAAACTCCAGTAGTGTGCTCTATAGAGGCATCTTGATGCTTTCGAATGGTTAGACCACTTTTCAACTCAAAGGTGACAAAATGCAATGGTATCTGAGGGCAGCGTTGGGATCCCAGCGCTTTGGGAAGCTGTCCTTTGTCGATCCTGAAAAGCCAGACTGGGATCTGTGCTCCTCTTGAGATAGGCCTTCGGCAATCTCTCTTTCTGTGGCCTTGAATGTCATTAATCCTGGGATGTGTGAAGAGTGAGGGATGTTGGAGGAATGATGAGAGACACATGGAGAAGGAGGGACTGAAGAGGTTCTGGTTAACGTGGGCTGGGGCCGGACAGTGACAGTGGGGCCTGATAGTTGGTCTTTTCCGTGACCAATTAGTCACCTAAGGCAGTGAGGCACTCCTGGGACACGTGTGTGAGGGTTTCCAGAGGATTCAATGACGAGAACAGGCCCAACCTTACATGGGTGGCACTGTCCTGTGGACTGGGGAACAAGGGGGGAAACAAGGGCAGAATGCCAGAACCCCCTCATCTACCCCCTGGCCACCTTGGTGTGACCCGCCACGCCCTCCCTGATGTTCTGTGAGTGCTGTGCTCCCAGCAATGAAAGCAGCAAGTAGAGCCCGGTGCAGCCTTCATTCTGCACCCTGACTCACTACCTCTCCCCACCCTGGCTTCCATAATTACCTGTCACGTGATCACTTGCACCTGCCCTTGATGTACACGTGTCTGGCTCAGCATAGGACACATCCTGCTGGGGGAGGGGGACTATTTGCAGGGAATTAGTGACTTGCCTTCCACAGTAGTTCTCATCAGGGATGGATTTTGCTGTCCCCCTTCTCCCCAAGGCATTTGTCAGTGTCTGGCAGCTTTTAGTTAAGTCTGCTTATGGAGAATGCTGACTGACACCTGATAAGAGTTGATGTGTCCCCCAGAGTCCATGTTGGAAGTTTCACACAGATTCTTGTGTTGGATCAGAGGGTGAACCCTTAGTGGCACTGGTGGTTTTAAGAGGAAGAGCACCCCCAGTTGTCTGTCTCACCGTATGATGCCTGACAAGCCTGGATGCAGTGAGGAGGCCCACACCAGATGCCGGAGCTGTGCTCTTAAGACGTTCAGCCTCTGGAGCAGCTGTAAGATACATGGGTAAAGCGCCATGTCCTGTTTAGACTTGCTGAGAAGCTGGCTCTGGATGTGGGGTAGACACAGCCCCCGCCCAATTTCAGATCTAAGTATGTGTGTCTCAAAGTGACCTCCAAAGCCTCTTGTCTGGGGACAGGCTGCCCTCCTGGCCCTGTGACAAGAAAGAACAGCACAACAACCCAAGTGTGAAAAGGTCATTCCCTAGAGAACAGGAGAGTAAATTGAGTAAAAACACCATGCCGTGAGAACAGCTGTAGAGAGAAACCCTTCCAACAGAGATCACTATTGTTTATCTCGTGGTGGGAATGAGATCCCAAAGCTGGTCCCCAGACAACACTGCTCTGCCTGGAAATCTCAATCAGGGCATTCCCAGTAGATCTCTGCTAGATGTTGTGGACCCTGGTGTGATGATCTGACCCATCTGCTACCTGTTCTTTTGCTTGCTACATGTTTATAACACATTCAAAACAGAAGGTGTAGCTAACATAGACCCTTTTCTCTACAGAATGCAAGCCAAATGAACTTCTATTCCTTAGAAATGACCAGGCCTCAGGCATTTTATTACAGCAACAGAAAAAACAAAAAACACCCTCCAGTGCACTGGAAGCCCCACCAGAGAACAGTCTAGCCCCAAATATCAGTAGTGGCCTAGTATCACAGATACAGAGTTCAGTTAACTAAGACACACCGGTGCCCTGACATGCAGTTAGGAGGCTCGGCTGTACTTCCACAGGGCAGGGTGGTAATGAAAAATATAAAAGTCAGGAGCCATGAAGCCTCTCAGACAAGTCACGTCTCAGGCAGGTCATGTGCTGGTCAAGAATTCCAACTTGCCGATAAGTAAGCTTCATGGCCAACTCTCTAATTAGTGAGTTTCATGGCTGAGACATCTCCAACTCACTGATAAGTAAGTTTTATGGTTGAAACATCTGGCTTAATGATAAATAAGCCCCCCCCCCCGCTCCCCCTAGAGCATTTTGTAATAGTTTAAACTAACCAATAACCACGCTTCTGCTTCTGTAAACTGCTTCTGCCCTATAAAGACCCCAAACCCCAGACCTGGGGCGCCCTTCTCCCTTTGTCAGGACTTGTGCCCCCAGGTACCTGTGTGAAATAAAAACCTCTTGCTTTTGCAACTCGAGGGCTCGACTTGTCTTTTGTGGTTTCAATTTTACAATAGCAGGGCTTGCCTTGAGGCATGAGGCTCCTGTCCTCACTGCTCGTCCCAGTGTGCCTGCGGTTTTAGGGTTTGTGGTCACTCCTCTCTCCTCTCTCTGACAAACATCGTGGCTGGTTTTGTCTACTCTGTGTTCTGCACTATGTTGGTCTTTTGATTTCTATATGTAAGAAGCTCATACAGTTTGTATCTGTGGGACATTTACTGAGGACAGAGAGAGTGCCAGAGAAGAAACTTACATTGCAGGATTGCAAACAACTTCAGACTTACTATGAAACTTAGTTGACCAGTCACAGTCATTGCCTAGCACATATCCACCTCTGACCACCCCTGTTTTGGTCATTGGTGATCAGAGAGAATGCAAGCAAAGGCTAGAAATGTGCTTTGGGGATAGGCTCCAGCTCCTGCAATTCCACTATTGCTGA